AAGGCTTCACTCTTGCCTCCATATATACTATCTAACTAAGAGCTATATGGCAATGTCCTATAGGACCTCCAACATATATTGACTTTGCTAGCCACATGTCTTATCTTGCAAGGTAAGTTTTCTATGTATGTGCTATGTAGTTGGCTTGTTCCACAAGCTATTACATTGAGATAACTTGTTCCACAAGCTACCAATACATGGTTAGCTTTTTGGCCAAGTTTCTAACCTATAAATACATTTAAAGTCAAAACCGCATCTATGAAGCTTCTAGAAAGCTTCTCTAGAAGACTTTATGAAATTATTCTATATTTATCTAATTCTACTTAATTATATAAGTAACTATTGAGGTAAATATATATATATCCGTGATACCAAATCTAAATCTTAAATCAAATCCTAATCAAATCCTAAATCCTAAACTAAACCTTAACTAAATCTTTATTCTAAATCAAATCCTAACCAAATCCTAAATCCTAAATCAAATCCTAAGATAGTTTAAAACCTCAATATCTTTTGATTAAACTATTGATCTTATTTAAAATTTTACACACCTCTCAATCACTTAGTTACAAACAAATACAATAGATTTGAAGACAATTATACTACCAAATGGAAGAAAAACCTTAAAATCTGCTTAGATATTAGCCGACCTCCTTCCCCAACCTTGATGCTGATCTTTTAGTACTAACATCTTCCTTTTGCACCATTCAATTGATCTCAAAATTCTCATATATGTAAGAAAATAAGTCTACTATCAATACACATAATTTTCACTCCAATCCATTTAGTAGATTGCAAGAAATCTTAAAAATCTACATTAGACCTAAAATTCTACTTTTTAAGACCCTGATCTACTTAAACCTCAATAACCTTCAATTCAACCATTAGATCAAGCTAAAATTTACAATACTTATTAAAAAAAAACTATAACCATTAACCTACAAAATTTCACTTATAGATGTGCTACAAAACTCTTGAAATTATCCAAAACGTCAATCCTATTTTATATCACAAAAACTCGAATTATTTGAAACAATCTTGACTTTGTAAAGCTCTTACAAAGTCATTACAAATCCAAATCACAAAAAACTAATGCTCATAGAAACCGTATCAAGTCCACTCTCAAATCCTACTCTCTGATCTCCAAAAGAACCCTAGAATTGCTGTAGGTGTATAGTTTTGTGCCAAGTTGACAACCAATTCTCACTGGGTATCAATTCTTAGCTTCTTGAGGTAAATTTTGTTAAAATCTACTCTCAACTCCCTCCTACATATGCCTATATTATTTAATTTTCTAATTTACTTTATTTTTATTTATTTATGGTCCTACAAGATAAATAGAAGCCTATTTTATAAAACAAAATATTAATACTTTTTAGTTTTACTATCCTTTTGACTATTATCTATATTTCTTAGATAATTTGCTATAATATTTTGAACTAAGATTTTTTATAATATAATAATTTCCACACTCTTTCATCTATTAGCCATATTATATCACAACAGCATCATTATGTCCTCTTGAAAAAGAAGAAGGGTTTTGGCCCCCCACATAGTGTTGTTGGAATTTTAAGACAACAAGCATGACTAAAATAATGTTTCAAAATTTCTACCTTGTGGATAATGATTCACATAAAATATGCATCTACATGATATGAGTATAATGGTAGTTATGTAAAAGTTCAAGCTCTATTGTCTAATTTTTATTGCACAATTTGTTTGTCTTAATCTTGTTGGCTAATGTATCGTGCATTAATTGCAATGGCTTGTCAAATAGGATTTCTATACCTAACTTTTGTAATAACTAGTAGCAATAAGATTTGGTTATGTTAAGAGGTAGCACAACTTAACAAAATTCAATAGCATAGTTTCATTCTTGGAAGGGTTTCATTATTGTGTCATTCATTCTTATTATTATATTGGAATTGCAAGGGAGACAGAAGAATGAGGCTCTACATCAGGATTCTAAAAATAAAATAAAATAAAAAAATCTAAAATTAGAAATTTATTTCATAATGATATAAATTTTAGTACATTAAATACTTAATTTGTAACTTAAAAAATTAAAGAATAATAATATAATGGCTCTATTATGATATCGGAGATTTACATTCATAATATAAATATTGATAGTACACACTTATTTAAAATAAAAAACAACTATCAAATATTCGTTCATCTATATTAAAGAAAATAATTATAACTGCAATAATAAAAATAATAAATATATTGAACAAGAAGTTATTATATTACATTATATTATTTATATAATTACTTATTAATATTTATAATATAAGGTCTTTATAAAATGTTCTAAAAACTTGCAAGCTACTACATTTTTAGCAATTATGGCTTCAATGCATCCAAACAACAGCCATTGTAAGTCTTCAATTTACAATTTTATTTATCTATCTCAAGCTCTATGGATTCATCTTTAAATTTTAATCTAAATTCAACAATTAGAATTATTTTAAAATTTAAAATGAATAATTTATTGCCAAAATAGGTCAATCAGTAGCTACTGATTTGCATGCTTTGGATTAAAGGTTCCGTGCTTTCTGGTGCATGTAGAGAATTAAATACATATGGACAAGAGCACGGTTGAATGCAAGAGTTATTATTCTCTTCTTTCTTTATATTCATTACAACTAATAATAGTAAAACACATTGATTATTACTCATGGTCCACATTTCAAAGAATGGATCAAATGAGGTCCATCTTTAGAAAATGAAAATTTAATACACGGTAAGAAATGGAGTTGGATAAGAACTGATTGACAAAATTTTCAGCGTAGCATCGAAATTTGAATGATATGCTTGAAAGGTTATGTTACTATCACTCCAAGCTACAACCAAGGTTTACAAGGTAGAAAACATCTAAAATTATTAATCTGAGTACTACAACTTTATTTACTTGACCGTTGTATTCTTCTGTCATCAAAAAAATTGAGGCAATTCCAATCACATAACAAAATGAATAGAGTTATGTAACTTTTTTTTTCTTCAATAAACCATTGCTTAGAGAAAACAAACACGACCCAAACATGAGAAAGTAAACTAAACAACATTTTTCTGATTCTTCTCACCCCTAGTAAACCCCATGGTTTGCCACATCGTCATGTCCAACCAAATAGCAAACATGAAGAACGTGACCTAAAGGAGGCGAACAGTTTCTAAAACAAAGTGAGGTCCATAACCCCGTGGTCCAAAAAGAAGATGCACAAGAGTGGAGTAAGCTGAATGATTGAAACCGATTTTTTTTATATTTATTATTAGATGATGAGGAAGAAAAAAATTGTCTCCCAATTTAAGACTTGGTGTGCCTGACAATCACCCACCCTTAATCAAGCATCGAAGATGACGCTGAAGAACCCAATCACACTTGTGAATCTGATCGTGGTCAATTAATTCACACAAACACATATATATATATATGTATATATATATATCCACAATTCTGTGTGTAAATGTGTGTGTGTGTGTGAAAAGGAGCAATTCTCCGCCTTCCAGCGTGTGATCGATATCGCAGCTGTCGTGGAATCAGTCTCTTGCAGAGGTTCGCGGGAAGGCCTGGAAATTCTGATTGTGCAAGCAGCAGTTTCGGCAAATTTGTGCAAAGCAGGGAGCTGCAAAGTGTTGGCCGAAGCCTCAGATTGGAATAAATCATGATGCACAAGCATGACGCTTCTCACGGCTTTCGTATGCGTTTGATGCCCGGCAAGTCCACGTTGCTGTACAGCGCGTAGTTGCACCACTTGTTTGGTTTCACAGTCGCGTACTCCAACACAAATTTCGTCCTAGAAAGCCCGAAGTCTTTGAATAGGTCTAGCAAACTTGCTTGCTCACGGACCAGAAACCCGATGAGCAGCTTGGTCTTGGTGTCGCCCTTGCAGACCTCCAGCACCGCACTGTGAAGCTGCTCCATGGGGATGTAAAAAAAAGGGGGGTCGAACACCACCACTCGGAAGCTCTCGCTCTCGCCGAGCGGCTCCGGGTTTCGAATGTCCCAGTACCGGAAGCCCGGCAAGTAAGAGAGCCGAGTGTCGATGTCGAGTAATCGGACGTCCTGCTGTGGATCTAGTTGGTGGAAAGCTTGCGCGAGGGAAGGGGTGGCAAGGCAGCAGAGATTGGGATCGTAAGACAGTGCCCGACAAAGTTTCTCAACGGTGGCGATCGTCCAGAAGTATTGCTCCAAATCGTGTCGTTCCACAAATCCGTTGCTGAACATGTGCCTAGGACTTCCAAGCGTGTTGGATTCGGGCTTGCTGACCATCGCCATTCTCCAAGACCACTAGCTCATACTTGACGAGGGCCCGTCAGCGTCAAGACCCACCTAAGACTCTGAACAGAGGCTGAGCGGATTGCCGGTCGCACTCCGAGCTCGGCTACACGAAATCGGTATCTGGTTGTGTTCGCACAGGAACGAAGTATATGTATTTGAGATAGCTTGGCACTGAAGGCAAGAGTATACTTGAACGTTGTACAGAGAATCGTAGCCATCGGCGACACATCCTGATTCTGCAAAAATTCTTAGTCGGTATGGCTAATTGGAGGCGACGTGCTGGTCAAGGTAGACGAAAAAAGATAGATGGGTGAACGTTCAGGAGCTAATTCGGATCAGCAAACTTGAGCTGAGTAGAAAAACTATCACATTTGAAACTCGTTCGTTGACCTCCCTATTCCAACTGTACAAGATGCAATTGTGCTCACACGTCCCATTTCAAAAGCTCCACGTCTTCATATAGCGAGGTAAAACACAATGTGATTCGATCGCAGCATCATTGCACAACATAGAGATTTCCATTGGAGAAAGCTACCACGACAGATGCAGAGAGGAGCAACATCATCTACTTCCCAACATACAGCGCACGAGATTCCGATGCAGAGCAAAAATCAACACGCAATTCAATCAAAATTCTAAAAAACAATCTGGTGATTCAACTGCAGGAACTCTGCCAAACCAATCCAAAGCGCACCAAAAATCATCAGAACACTTCAACTAGTACCCAAAGACGAGTATTCACCTATAAAGTGCACCCAAAAAATGCAGTTGCTGCCCTTGCTCAATTAGTGCAGGAACAGAAAGCCTCTCAAGCCACTATCAACGTGATCCGAATTCCTGTTCATTTGTCGTTCTCAACGACAATAGACTCAGTACCAGATCTAAGTCATGGAGTAGAACCCACGTGCACCTTCGTATCAGGTGCACTACGATGGAACCTTATTGTGGCTCAGCATCAGTGTTTCAAAGGATACTCAGCAGAACAAGAGTATCGTTTCCTACCTAAAAAGCTCTACGTCGGTGAAGAAGACACCTGCACAATTACAAAATTTCATTGAAGGGTGCTTTCGATTTCATGCCCACCCCAACTGACTACTCATCGTATACTGGCAACTCGGCCGCCCTATAATGCTAAACTACGAAAAAAATTAATGGAACAAGTTATGGGATGTATTTACTAATCAGTCTCTAATCTCAAAACTCGTAAACTTTCCTGTCATCCTCCATTTAGCCTCCCCACCCACTGCGCTTGCTTCGCCCTCCGCCTGAAGGACAATCGTTTGCCCTATGTCCTCGTTGCCCGCACACGTGACATGTCCCTGAAAATGTCTTGTCGCCCCCTCTGTCTGACCGTCCAGACGAAAACCTTCCAAACTTCTCAGAGTCTCTTCCGGAGGATGACGATCGAGGTGAGGAAGATGATGAAAATCTCCCAAATCGATCATTACCCCGATTCCCACCCCGGCTTCCAGACCCTGACCCTCCTCCAAATCGCCCGAACATATCCGAGCCCGCTCCTTTCCCGTCTTCCGCAACTAAACGAGGAAGCTTTGCCGGCACGTCGAACACGTCCCCTTCCTGGGTTGGTAGCGCCAGAAGCTCCCTTGCCATATCGTCCGGCACATCGAACACCGCTCCGTTCATCTTCTGCTCGTCGATGATGCAGATCTTCCCCACTCTGTCCGCTGCAGGTCGAGACATTCCTGACAAGACAGCGCTCACAGCCCGTGCGCTCAGAGGCGGCCTGGCCCCTGTCCGCACCAGCCTCACCGTCGTCATTCCTGGTTCGTAGGTCAACAACGACCGGCTTGGTGGCAGCTGACTGAATCCGCTCAGGTGGGCCAGAGCTGCAGCGAAAACATCAGGGCCCTTCTCTTCCAGCAGAGACTCAGCAGTTGGACGGAACTCGGCCGCCAGGCTCGCATCCACATTCTCCAGCGCGCCCTTGACCTGCTCGAAGCTAGCTCGCATCACGTCCCTCACGTGAGGCAACCCTACTATCTGAAACTTGCACTTCACGTTGTTCTCTATCGTTCGCATCGTTCGGACCTGTTGGCTAGTAAACATAAGTATGTTCGTTCCAGATCTACCCGCACGACCTGTCCGTCCGGTCCGGTGCACGAACGTCTCCGAGTCGTTTGGTATCTCGTAGTGGATCACCAAGTCCACGTTCGGCACGTCTAGTCCTCGAGCAGCAACGTCCGTCGCTACCAACACCGCAATCTTTCCGTCACGAAACGCACTCAATGTCTTCTCCCTCTGAACTTGCGAGATGTCCCCGTGCAACGCCCCGCACGAAACCAAGTTCCCCATGGCCATCGCCACGTCATCCGCATCCCGCTTCGTCTGCGTAAACACGATCGTCTTCCCACCCTTCCCGTGGACCGTGATCAGGTCGCTCAAAATCGACCGCTTCGCCGACGCAGGCAACTGAATGGCCAAATTCTTGATACCATCCGCTAACTTCTCATCCGAATCGCCCACCAGGTCGATTGTCAGAGGCTTGTTGAGGTATTTCCGACTCAGCTCCTTCACCCATTTCGGCATCGTCGCACTGAAGAGCATGCTCTGCCGCTGCTTCGGCAGCTGCTGCAGAATACGCTCCACATCCTCCTCAAATCCAACCGCCAGCATCTGGTCCGCCTCATCCAATACCAAAAAGTGCACATCCTTCAACTTCAGGGAGCCCCTGTCAATTAGGTCAATGATGCGACCGGGCGTCCCCACCGCAATGTCCACGCCCCGCTCAAGCTGCCGCTGCTGCATACTGATCGGCACCCCCCCGTACACGCACACGGTCGACAGCATCGGAGCAGACTCCATGAACTCCCGCTCCACTTGCTTCGCCAGCTCGCGTGTCGGCGCAAGCACCAAAGCCCGAGGCGACCGCCCCTGCCTGGGAGCATTCTCAGCATTCCCGTCCACAATGTGCCGAATAATGGGAATTCCAAAAGCGAGGGTCTTACCAGTCCCTGTCTTCGCCCTCGCAATCAAGTCCTGCCCCTTCATCGCCGGCTCCAGAACCGCCCTCTGAATGGGAAACAAATGCGTAATCCCCCGCTTCGCAAGCGCCTCCACGATATCTTCGGAAACTCCCAAACTGTTGATCGCAAGCTCGTCCTTCCCCGCACACGCATCTTCCAAACCTGAAAACCCGTCCTCCTCACCAGAACTCTCAGTCTCATCATCCAAAAAGTCCGGCTGGCTAGAGAGCTCCCTCCACGACTGCATCAACGCCATCTCGGAAGCCGTCCCATTTCCCCTCTGCAACCCCGGCATAGGCCCATTGGCAAGGAACACCCCTCTCCATTGCACCCCATCACCCTCTCCACCCCCTCCCGCAACGGCCGTCAAACTCCGCCCGATCGTGAGTGCGCGTCGCTGCCCAGATACAGCTCCCGCACACGATCTAGCTTTCAAGAGCGCCCTCACTCCCGCCTCCGCGCACTTCCTCGTCATCGCCATCACTGAAAATCCTCAAAACCCTTCCAAAACCCTTCAAAGACCCTCCAAAATCCCTCCAAGCTCACCACCAAAATCCTGTGAAGAGAATTGTAGAGTGACTACAGCAGTGGCGTGATCGGGCTAGAGGCGGCGTTCAGAGGCAAGCATTCCTCAAGGTGGAGAAAGCAAGCGAGGATCCGAAACCCTACAAGGCAATGAGGGGTGGAGGCCTCACAGAGAGACAAAGGAGGAGAAAAAGACACAAAGGAGCCTTCATGAGAGCCTGAAGAGTCCTCGGAAGGGGCGTTAGCACGGGCAGCACCAAATAACGGCCGCCGTTAGTTGCAGGTCGGTCATGTTTGGAAACCTAGCGAGGCATCTGCCCGATGGCCATAGGCTTCCACGGTTTTAAGGTCAAATAGACGCGGTCGCCGGATCCCGCTGACTCGTGGTCACTGGCGCCCGTGGACATGATCTCCGCCCCGGTCCCCCATGTAATTTTGTGGGGATTTCTATAACTTCTTAAGAATTGGGTATTGTGTTTGATTCGGTTCCTTATGTATATATAAGTTTGAGTGTAATTTTTACATGTATATATTTTTTAAATATTAATATATTTTGAAATGATGCAAAAATATGTGCTTTACAATATTTTAAATATAAAAACTCATTATAACTAGAATTTGAGAAAAATGTGTGGTGTTCTCAATGTGTTACATGAAATTAATGTTATGTTTCTTTTTAACAGAAATATAAATTCTTTTTCTTTTTCTCTTTTGAATGACTTTGTTGTGCAGAAAAATCAACATTTTTTTTTTTTTTTTGATTTCTAAACTTATTTATTTTTGAGGAAACAATGCATTACAAATCAGAATATTTATACTTACACATTTACAAAAAATCATATTTATTTATTTGAAATGTGGAATATGATGGCGTTTTTTTTGTTGTTGAATCTATGATTGGAATTGGAATTGGAATTCAAGGTTTTTGTGCCTATTGCATGGACTATATTCTCTATAAATAAATAAATAAATAAACAAAAAAAAACAAAACAAAACAAAACAAACAAACAAACAAACAAACAAACAATCAAAAATACCAATAAAAATTAATCTAGTCATGGAATCAAAATTGAATATACACAGCACATTCAGACATATAAGTAATGATGTTTCAAATGAATATAAATTTTATAATGAATATTATGAAATGGATCAAGATAATTGTGCAAAGGACTTTTGGATTATTAATTTGAAATTTGATTTGTATCAAAATTTCTATAATAAGTAATTATAATGGTACATACTTAAGAAGAATATAGAATAGTCAAAGCACCAACAAAAATATGGGTATTTCTAATGCCACCGCAATTTGCCATCTATCACATGCCACCATAGTTTTTCTACTACCACCACAATGTACCATCCAACTAACATATTTTTTTTGTTTTTTTATTATAATTAAAATTTAATATTTACATATTTTTTCAAATTATATAAAAAATAAGCATAATTTTGATTTTAAAAAAAACTACATTATTAATTATAAAATTATATATAATTTTTCATCGTCACATAAGCAATGGTTTTATATACTATTGCCATTTGAAAGTCATTTGAGAAATTGTTGCATTGAATTCAATATTACCATAAATGCCATATTTCTTTTAGCATTGCTCTTAATGAAAATCCATGTTGTAAAATTCTATCAATGACATGGTTGGCTATTGGAGATTTTTACAACTTCTTGGTGCTCTTCAAAGACACCAGAATATTGATGTTTGTTTTAACATATCCTACATCAATAAAGACAAAATATCTTCTTCCAACTTATCTTTAATAACAGTCTATCATTAAATAATAATTAATCTAATTTTAGTATAATTGATGAATTCTCCTTTAATAAAATAGAAAGGTAGATGTTAAATGTACCAATGTAGTTGTAACAAAGTAGTTGTAATGTGAATCTATGGTTCTAGATAAATATGATAATTTCTCTAACAATCCATTTGACGGCTTGTGGCTGTTGGGTATTACAACCACATCAATACATTATTAGTGTATATTCTTAGAAATAATATTGGTCATTAATATATTTTAAACTTAATTTGGTAGCAATGAAATTTAAGCCATCTAAAAGGTCCAATATTTTTTTAAACTAATGAAAAATAAAAATAAAATTTTATTTTTGTTTCAATTATTTTTTAAAAACTTATTCACATCAAGTTAAGTATATGTTTTAATCTAACTTATATTAAATAGTAATTATTCTTCTTGCCATAAAATATTATCACAATAAATTGAAAAGCTTTAAACTTTTCTCTATTGAAAATTCTATTTAATTGCATTATATTTAAATTACAAATGAAGGTCAATTTTATTCTTGTAATTCTAGTGGTTCATCATATTTATACATGTATGTGTATTGAATATTAAGAATTGTGTTTCATTTTAAATATATTAATGTGTTTTGGATTACTTCTACTCCATCTATAACTAGAGTTCCATGGCTTTCTATTTTCCTTCAAGAACCTACCTATTTTGCTCCTTTGTACTTCCTTGTTTTGCCTCACATTTATTCCACCAAATACATCATATTGTTAAACACCTTCTTATTGTTCATGCAACATACTCAATCTATGTCTTCTTCTACTCCTTCTTATCTCTCTACTTCACATGGCATTTGCTCCACCAAAAATATTGTAATGTTAAGTAAACTATAATGTGTTAAAAATATGTCATTTTCCTCTCAATGTTCTTCTTTTCAAAAATTACACAAATTAACTTCTTTTGTAGAACAACAATTGGTAAAGAAGGTTTTGATTAGAAGGTTTGTACCTGACATATTCATATCCATTGGCCATTTAATTCAAAAAAAAGAGAAAAGCCAATACATAAGGTTTTTTTTTGTATGCTAATTCATTTTTAACAGCATGCTCACTTTTTTTTTTTTTTTTTTTTTTGTGTTTAATTTTTAGTTGAAGTGTTGTAAGAAATACATACGATTTAAGCAGAATTTGAAGTTGATTTTTTTGAAATTCTCAATAGTTACAATGAGATAAGTGATTATTATTACTATTATTATTATTATTATTTTTAAAAAAGTCTCTTTAATGAAGTATCCATCCACAATAATAGGCCAAATGACAAAAGAAGCACCTACAATTATAATTAGTAACAACTATAGGCAAAAAATGGTGTCAAAATGTAAGAAGTCTAACGTATAAATTACAAGGTCTTATTAATTTTTGGTTTTACAATTGTACATGTACAACTAAGAACAACGCGCAACTATCAATAATGCATAACTATCTTTCTATAATTTATTTTATTTCAAAATCTAATAAATGTGCAATATCTTTATAAAAAAATTAGAACTAAAATTAAATCTCACACATTAAGGGAGTTTTTTTTGTAAAGTAGACAAGGCACGAATTTTTCTTTGTAAAAGGTCTCTTATTACCAAAAAATTTGAACATCTTTTTACACCATGTAAAACATAATATAATGAACATTAAAAGATTAGACAATTGTTGCAAATATGTGCTACACTTTTTGATAGTAGATATTTAACTTACAAACTATATCCACCATTGTGAAGATAGACTAATTAATATCAATTTATTTCTTATCTAAGAAAAAAGAGAAAAACTTTGAAAAACTCTCAACATTCCAAAGGAAGAAAGGCCCAAGTTTTTAAATGGTTGAATGGTATATTTTTAAGAGAAATTTTTTTTTTACTTATTCCTTGCACAAAGAAAGTTGAAATAGAGATATAATGGTGGCAACCACTTAATTTCTTTAGTTAAAAAACTTGATTTTACAAAACAATTGAGATAATATACTAGATATAGATGAATCTATTTTATTCTACAATATGTCTTTCAATTAACAAATTACTAGCCAATGTATAAAATGCACAAAAAAAGCCAAGGAATGCATCTTTGTTGCATTCACAATTAATACTTTTAAAAATAAGAAGCTCTAGTCATTCATGATTGATAGAATCCAAAATCTATACATGTTTGAAGAAAATTTTGGCAAATAACTTGGATTCTATTATTATTTGAATAAAAAAGCTTAAATGACGTTTGAATTATTTATCAAATAGCTCAAAATTTTTGATCTCAAAATGAGACGCCAAAATAATAATAATAATAATCATAAATCTTCTTTTTTCTTAGCAAATTAAACGCGCTTATAGCTTGAATGGTGTTGAAACATAAAACACCATCTACCACTTTTTTTCTTCAATACAACATCTATTCTCCAATTAGTAGATGCTAGAATTATTGTTGCATCAAACAATGTTATTGCCACATCCAAATGCTCTTTGCTCTTCACAAATTAAGAAATTGGACCAACAATCCTTAAAAGATCAATATGTTATAAGAAATGTGTTGGATGAGACATGCAAAGAATGAAATATCTCTTGAGACTATTATGAACTATTACAAACATATGAGGCTACTCAATGTCATAGTTGCATAAGATGAGATTGGAAAATTTGATGATGCCAATTTGGAAATTATCAATGTTATGGCAATAAAGTTGAAACTGTACAAAGAATAGCTTACTATATTGTATGCAATACTCCAAGAATTTGAAAATGTTAATATCAATATAAACATCAACCAAAAAACTTGCTCAAACATGCATAAAGTATAAGATTATGTTTGTCTAAAGCACAACAAGTTATTTAAGAACTTGATCATCAACCAATACTTTTGTAAAATATAGCTAGCATTATTAAAATAAAATTTACCAATGGTAGAATTTTTTATATTTAAATTATAGAATTTAATATTTTTTACAAACTACGCAAAAAGAGAGATTATAAATTTATGACCTAAGAACGACCTTTGTTCTAAAAAATATTATTAGGTAAACAAGAAATATTAGTTAAGAGATATTATATAATTGAGATACATTTGTACAAGTTTCTAAAATATAATCTATAAACATAACAATAGAATTGGTTGTAAGCTAATTCAAATCCAATTTTCAAACAAGTATCAAATTGATTGCCATTCCTAACTATTGATGCATAATTTAGATACATACAAGTTTGATGTGTTTTAATATAAAATGATATATGACAAAAAAATATATCATTTTATCTTTATTTATCTTTATTTTTTTTAAATAGATGAATTAACACACGTATAAAGGAGTCCAATGATATGGCAACATCAAAAGTACTTAAAAAAAAAATAATAATATTGAGCAAAAAATTACTTGACAAAATAAGTAAATCATAGTTGTTTAAATTCAAATACAAAAGAAAATTTCTTTATTAGAAAATTCATATAATTACACAAAATTACAATTTTACTTACACTCACATTATTAAAAAAAATTAAAACGTCTTTATTTTTTTAGATTCAAATGTTAATTTAAGAAGTACTTTTGCAGCATAGTGAATTACAAAAACCTCATTTAAAACATTCTAACTTCATAAACATAAAAATAATAATAAATAAAATCCTAAAAAAGGGGTCTCTGATATGGTGTGTGTATATATATATATATATATATATATATTTCTTTTAGTACATGATAAGTTTCTGATACACACAAAATAGGACTTGGAATCAAAACGCGTCACGGTAAAAGGCTACAAGTCCCGTTTTCATGGGCATATATCACCGTGGCTTGTCAACACCTTTCAAAGGAAAAATTTAGGGCTCCAAGCACGAGGGCACCGAAGAGAGAAGACCTAGAATTACTTGAAAGACTGATCGACAGCGGACCGAACGCCGCCGTCGCCGTTGCCCTCGCCGTCGACAACCACGACGGCGAATGGAGCTTTGCCCGGCTTATGGGTTGTTGCTGCGGCAGAAGATTCTACCCGACGACGATGAATTGCAGAAGCAAATACCCGAAGAATTGTGGATTAGACACTGTAAGCGGCTGCTTTCGGCGCCGACTGCAAGTGCGGTTTGCTTCGAAGGATCCAGCTGTCGATATCGCCGTAAATGGAGTCACCCTTATTCCCCTGGTTGATGTCTACCGACGCACATACCTCCCATCCGGCGCAATTCAGCGCTTCGATCAGGTGGCCCACGAACATCCGCGCTTGCATCGTTTCCGGCCCCATTGCAGCCCACGGGTTGCCCAGCATCTTGTACTACGGCACGCCGTAGCAGAAGCATTCGCGTTGCAGACCACGATGCCATAGGTTTTGGATTGTAGATCGCACTACTTTGGCCACCTCTGGCGGCCCGCTGATGATGCGGATCTTATCGAACTCGTTGAAAGAAATGGCACACATGCGCACGGTTGAGTCCGGAAGCGCGGCTTGCTTGAAGTAGAACGTGTTTTTGTCGAGTTGGTACTTGCTCAAGTCCGTGGATAGTTTTAGCACCCAGCCGTTTTGGAGAAGGAAACAGAAGATGGTTGCCACAAGGTGGCGCGCAGCATTAGCTTGCTCGCCGTCGCCTCGCCATGGGTTGCCTTTCAGCTTGAACTCGAAGCTGACACCGTAGAGACATTCTCTCTAAATGCCGCTCTGCCAATTCGCTTGGATGACGGAGCGCAGCCTATCGATCGAGGAAGCCGAGACATTCATGACACGAATTTTGTCCCTCTCGTGCAAGGATAGGCATAGTGGCTGGAGCGAAGGACGGCCTGAGCTATTGGCTTCTGCCGGGGTATCACCGGTGTCCATAGTCTCCAAATCTTACTATGCACGCAGGCTCGCAGTGGTTGAGTCTTCGAATTGGCTTAAGAGGCTGCTCGAACGATCTCGAATACCGTATCAAGCTTTTCCTCGATCGTCAACTGTAGCCTGTATCAGAAAGCTGTTAATTCAGACTGTGATACAAGTACTAGGGAGCGTCTGAATTCAGGTGATCAAGAGGCTGTGGATTCCTCGAAAATATAAAGCTTTCTGTGCTGAGTGGAGAAGGTGAGAGCCCGAAGCATTGTGGCACTTCGGCTTTCTTTCCAAATTTGTTATGTACATGCCGAGGTTCCGACTATTGGTGCAGCTACTTAGAAAGTACCAAGCTGCCGCGTGATGTGCTCTGGTCATTGACTCTGCCGACGCGTTTTAGATCCCAAACGTTGACAAACACGAGTAACTCACCACGAACGCGCACGTTTTACTAGCAATACTTCTTTCTTTGAAGTTGCTACAGTGACCCGATTGGAGTTCCATGCTCTTCGTGCAAGTGTGACAAAGTCTCTTTGTGAAGTTGGGTATGTTGAACTTTAGAAGATTGATGGCGAACCTATCAGAGACCAGCAAAAAAGGTACTTTTAATTCAGAAGTTCATGTCGATTCTTCACCACACATGAAGTTTCTTTAATTGAAATAGAAAAGTGACGCACTCAAGCACTTGTACGAAGATATTTGTAGAAAAAGATAGGAAGTGTCGAAACCAATGTGAAAGTCATTTTAATTATTTATGCCACTAGCTCTACATTTCTTACTTTCCCAGACAGAGTAATCGGACTTTTTGAATACACATCGGATCAAAATAAATATCGCCATTATTGCGTAATTAGTTTGAGCAACAGAAGATCTTTACAAAGGCCACCTTGCGGATTATCCTTCTGCAAAGGAGCTTCATGGAAGGCGAAAATGCAGTGCAAGAACGTTTCCATATCTATGCCTATGCAGGATTTATCCATTTGCAAGGATGACAGCACTGAGCGCCATTATGGTTCCATGACGTGCTCAAACGAATACAATTTTACGTAGACCACAGATGGTAATACAACTAAAATTTATGCTGTACAAATGCAACCCCCTAGTTTACAAGTTTGCTGCCCTGGCAGGCAACTCCGGGTCTGTTTCAGCTTCCTCCTCTTCAAGTGATCGTTCTGTCCCTCTCTGCAGCGAGTACAAAAGTAATTAGTCACCGTGTAGAGAAAAACTCTGCAGAAGCATAAAATCCTTGAAATCAATGAAAACAGCCATGATTAGTTACTCTACTCAAAATGCAAGTGAACGTCAAGAGAATGACACACCGACTACACAATAAGAGTGCTGAAGTAAGAAATAGACGACTTATATAATAACGTGTGAAGTAGTTGATTTTCAACATGAAAGAATGTTAGTCACACGATATTAAGAGGATGTGTTCAATCACCTTGCTGGGACTCTTCATGTTATTCAAATAAATGTCCAAAGCACCCTCTCCACGAAGAATCTTAGCACCGCTTCCTACGCCATCAGGTGGACCTACCGCATCTTCGTCTAAAACGACTGCATCTATTTTCTCATCCGTCTCCGAAACTGAATCTGGAACCTATCATGAGTTAAAGAAATTAAATCAGTCACAAGTACAAGAAGCGGTTGCGAAGCTTCCTCACATAACGCCATGTATACAACTTGTGCATAAACCCAACATTAGAGGAAGACAAACGGATTTAAACCTGGTACATAGAGTCTGTTAAAAGGGCCTCCATAATGGATCGCAACCCACGAGCTCCAGTGTTCTTGATCATGGCTTTCTGTGCAATCCTTCGCAACGCTCCTTCAGTGTAATGCAACTTGACCTGTCAACATTGTATAAATCTGAACCACTTCAAAATGTACTTCACAAACCTTAAGCTCTAAAAGCGTATCCAAAAACTCCAGAAAATGAGTAGATTAGGCTCTACATTGTAGCGCAAAGAAACTTAACTTGGTAAGCATACAATAATGGCTGATCAGTGTATGTTATAATTAGGAACTTACATTATTCATGGCAAACATTTTCTTGTACTGTTTGCCCAGGGCATTTCGGGGTTCTGTGAGCACCTGTAGCAAAGCAACATATAATCTTTGCCAAATAAAAATATCTCTTGCCAGGAAGCTATACGACAATAGTAAAAGTATCCACAGATTAAATCCTTATCATAGAAAGATATTTCAAGAAGGTATTCAAAAAGGGCTGAATGATGAAGTGGTTTGCATGCTTCGAAACGAAGCATCCTCCGAGAGTTTGGTGGCCGCCGAAAGGGATCCAGAATGCACACAGCACGAGCTGATATATATCCAAGCAAAGATTGTGAACTAAGAAGCGTATCCCAACTAATACCTGCACAAGCTGGTCTTCATTCAAGGCAGCTAGACTGACAAGAACAGGAAACCTTCCAATAAACTCAGGAATGAGCCCATATGAAATCAAGTCACTACTCTCCACCTGCACGCAAATCAGAGCCGGCTTGTAAAGAGAACGGTTCCCAGATATTATGTTAATCAAGATATCTGACTCTACAAAGTAGACAATCTACCAGCCTCAACATCATGAATCAAAAGATATTTAATACAAACCACTATAGGCATTCAACAGTCCAAGGACTTTAAGCCCACTCAGAGATGATTTATGAGAAAGACTGCATGTGTGGAATTCCCTAGAGAATGTAAATGAATTGCTTAACACTAGGTGTAGAAGCAGATGTCACGTCACAGGCAATGATGCAGAAGAGATTTACCAACTCAAGCAATGAAGATGTGACGGCCGCATTGACCAATTTATTCACTCTCATGTTCGCACGTACAGGTGCTCCGAATCCAATAGACGAGTCCTGACGCCTGCAAAATGGCAAGAAATCATTAAGGAGAAGAACATCTAGACCTTGGGGCGGAAAAGAACACAAGGATCGTGGGCGTTCTAATCGTGGGTGTACTGATAGCATGCTGTGCTGTATGACGCTGCATGGTAAAACATATACTTGCATGCACCTAAAAGAACTTAAGCTTCAGTAAATTAAGTCATACTTGCAATAGTAAACCATGCAGTGTAAACATAGAAACATTATCTGAATAAGGCGAGAACCCACTCTCCGGAAAATCATACCTCTCTGCAATAGTTTTCTCAAGCTCTATGAAAGCACCCCCGCAAATAAACAAGATATCCTTCGTGTCAACCTGAATCTCGAACATTCACAAAAAATTAACAAAAGAAGGATGAAACTACAACAAAAACTAAGGAAACTTGTAGTATGAGCTAACCATAATTAGTAATATTTGACATCAGACCCGATGATTGATGCATATATCACCTGAATATGGTCTCCACGTGGGTGTTTACGAGCCCCTTTCTCTGGCACATTCACAACCTGCAACACGACTTACTCAGTTACTACAATCAGAATTATAACGTATCAACATTCATAGAAGAGTCATCCCCATGTAACATACATACTTGAACCACAAGGATACGCTGTGCAACAGCAAATATGTCGAAGTTTTAGAAGAGAACTTGAATCGTACAGTTCCTTCCAGCATCTTCAAAAGTGCCTGCTGAACTCCTTCACCAGATACATCCCTGCTAATGTTCATATTCTCCGCCTGAACAATCAAATACATATTGTTAATGATTTTTAGAAAGCAAGGAAGAGGAGGTATCAATGTGCTCCTACTCCTGAGAAGTAACTAAGAACAGGGACTCCTCAGCCCTCCCGCTACTAGAAAACTATGCTGAAGGTACTAACTAATACAGAACTTGGAGGTGTATATTTCTCTGACTTGAGGTGACGTCTCAATTCAAATGAAAATGTCATACCTTCTTTGTAATTTTGTCAACTTCATCAATATAAACGATACCCTGTTGAGCGGCTGGAACATTAAATTCTGCCGCCTGTTAAGCAACAAGTTAGTCAAAAGCCACGTCTGTCTTAAACAAGTGCAACTTCAAAATATTTCCCAAGTTGCAGTTTTACAGCGTTAGGTTCAAGGTATTCGTATAAGAGGTCGTTTCAGCCACTTACCATCAACAACTTGTACAGGATGGATTCCACATCTTCTCCCACGTATCCTGCCTGAACGATAGAATTATACCTTCATCGAATTAGCAAATAAATAAATAAAGCTCGCAAAGGGTCCCCACTCTCAGGACCAAAGACTAAAAAAATTCGTGGGATCACCTGGGTAAGTGTTGTAGCATCCGCAATCACGAATGGAACGTTTACGAATCTAGCCAACGTCTTGGCAAGCAATGTCTTTCCTGCAAGTACGAAATCCAAGCGTAAGCCCTTCCAAACCATGCTGTAAGCCGAAGTAAGGAGAGAAAAAATAAAATAAAATAAAAAATAAATTACAACGAGTGGTGCATTTTGTTCTGTTCAATGGAAAGAGATAAAAAGAGATTTGAACGAACCAGATCCAGTAGGACCCATGAGAAGAACGTTACTCTTCTCCAACTCCACGCCGTCATTCTCTTCGTCTTCCATATCAGAATGGCCAGCGCTGAGACCACCATATCTGCAAATCCAAATCTCGACTACATTATAGCAGTGCCTCGTTTTCTGAGTCAGGAAAAACAAAGAAATACTTCCCGATGAGGAATCTGAAAGAAAAATATAAAAACCGACCCGCAAATACTTCCAATTCGAATTTTGAGAGAGGCTTCTGGCTGAATAAACATACCCCTCATCGGTAAGCCTTATATTGCTCTTTAATAAGGACTCATAGTGAATACGCTTATAATGATTATACACTGCCACGGATAATATCTGCAGATAAAAGAAAAAAGGAGCGAACCTCAGCTTTTCAAATCGAATAAAAGTAACGCCGAGGGGTAGACAGTTGCTTCTTTTAACATGAAATTATCCTACACTGACGAAGAAGGAAAGAAGAAGCACATGAACTCATTTCACGAGCAATCAACCATTCTCTAACTTGCCCTGAAGACAATCACCCTCATTGCCCGTAATGTAAGCAAAATAAATAAATAAATAAATAAATAATAAAAATAATAATAATAAAATAAATAAATAGTCTGCTACGGCTTAATTTAGCACAGCAAGAGAATTGAAAGAGGGGAAGAGGGAGAATGCCTTTTTAGCCTTTTCCTGACCCACGACAAACTTGTCGAGAGCTTGAGAAATTTCTCTAGGAGTGGGGAGTTCCTTCCCAAGCGCAGCACCGCCCCAAGAGTCTCTGGAACCAAATCCACCTCCTGGACCTCCAGGGCCTCCTGTGCTAGGATGCGCTCGGATCAAATTGGAGCTCGGAGAATAAGGGGGATTAGGCGGTGTTGAAACAGCCACTGGGGAAGATGGCGGCATATTTACAGCGGCCTGCAAATGCTGCGGCACATCCCCATGAATTTGCTTTCGAGAGCCTTGCGATCGAGAGTCTCGCAACTCTTCAGTTTCGGCTATTGACAAAGCTGACCCTGCATCACTTCCTTTCGGGACAATCATGCTACTCGCTGCCCTGTATGCTCGGGTAGAAGTCGCCACAGGCTCAACACTCATTCTTGTCTCGACTGCTTCGCAATTCGAACATGTTCTGCGTGAGTCAAAGGTGGGACCAATTGATGCCACTGAGGCGGATACCGGAGTGCTGCAGCTCGTGCAAATTTGGTGCGCTCCGCGCGATCTCTTCCCCAACTTACCATCATGAAATTTTCTCCGTCCGATTGCAAGACGTTCCATATCAGGACTGATGCTTGGGCCGGAGGGAGTCGAGGCAGAGGGCAATGACCGAATGAAATTATGTACATGACTTGGAATCACAGAAGTGGGGGGAACCACAGAGCTTCCACCACAGCTGGGCAGAGAGGGAGGGGAAGAATGGGTAGAAGTGCGTGCTCTCCATCCCAAGCTCACCACCCCCATACCTTGACGCCCATGATAATTCGCCGCCTTGGCAGCGACATCACTGAACCTCTTCCATTTCACGGGAGCCATGGCACCTCAAATTCAATGCAATCCTTCTCTCGACAACCTCAAATTAGTCCACAGCACACAAACCCTAAAGTACCTTCCGAACACCCGAGGCGCGAGGCGCGAGTCACGACCCTTCTTCACTGCTACAAACAATCACCCAAACCTCCCCACATCACAAATCCTCCCACCTCAAAAATCCAACCCCACTATCACACAAACTGTGCCCACATCTTCACGCAAATTCGCAACCGGAGGCGAGCGAATTCAACAAACAACGTCCTCAACAAGCAACTGGGTTTCTTTTCAGTTCATTCGGTGGCATGGAATCTGAGGGAACCCACATCCAGGAGACGATCAGAAAGGAGAAGATCTATTCACAACAGCGAGCTCTTTTCCTGCTCGCCTCTCTTTCAACCTTTTCTGCGACGCTTCCCGTCCTCTCCTAACAACCTCAAAAAGACCCGACTCATCACATCACTGATGACGACGCTCCCGCACTTGGCAAAACTGGCAAGATACCTTCGCGGCTCACGATAGCATAGTAAAAGCGCATCGAGCGAGGCAGATGGTGGGAGCCCAGCTGACGTAGCGGCGATTCTGGTAGAGCTCCTCTGGGATTGCCCTGCCCCGGATCAATCAATGACCCATCCCAGCGGCGGGGCTTCGATCGCAGCGCGGCTGCGGCCACCGCCGATCCCCTCGGCGTGATCCGCCGGTGGCCCAAGGCCATCCCCTCTCGGAATCTGTTCCCATCCCTTAATTCTTCTGCTTGCGTCGTCCAACCCCCAAACCCTAATTTGCTAACCCTAATTGCATTTTCTTCACCTTCACCTTTTGTGTACGTAGTCATTTGGTACCATCAATGTGTGTGTGAACAATCATGTATAAGTAATTAAAAAACTATTGTTTGGATTAATTCTATTAGAGTTTTGTAATGTGATTCATTAGTTTTGTCAACGTTCAAAGGAAGTTTTGATTATTAAGATAGATCCAACAAAAGACTATCATCAAGCATTGATTTTTTTTTAAAAAATATTAGCCAATAATTTATAAAAACTTGTTTAAAGCAATACAATGTTATTACATAATTAAATCTACAAAAAAAAAAAAAACAAAACAAAACAAAACAAATAATTAAAAATTTGTAAATTAATATTTATCATCAACTTCCAAACTCAAATACACCTCTTGCTATAGTCTTTATTCTATTATTTCATACTTTTTTATTATTTTATGAAATGTTATTTTATATTTCATTATTTTCTTGCTATAGTCTCTATTCTATTATTTCATAGTTATTCAATTTTAGAACATAATTAATGTAGTATCACTTTTTGTATTAGAATACAACCAATATAAATAATTATTCAAAAAAATATATGTACAAGGATATTGCTTAATTTATACCTCTTAATTGATGTTTCTTGCTTTCTTGATAATATTTGCTAAAATAGAAGGTATTTTTAGGTTGTAAACTTATAACCTTGTTTTTTTTGCATTATTGATTAAAATAAAATAAAAAATCTAATAATTTGAAATTTTGTTACAACAAATAGACAAATGTGAGTTTAATAAGAATAGAGAATATTTATTTGTGCATTTAAGTTTTAGAATAGATGAATGTGGGACTAACAAAGAAAGAGACCATTTATTTATGTATTTAGGATTTGGAGTTTGTTGTTTCAATACTCTTTTAGATATTGCCTCTTTTAATGTCTTTTTACTTTTTTATTTAAAGATAGCAACCTTGGAAATCCAATTTTTATTATTTCTATTATTAAATCTTTTCCAATGCTTACTAACAAAACATAGTAGGATTAATGGATGTTAGGAGGAAGAAGAGATAGTGACTTCTAGAAACAAGTAAAACTCATGCATCTCATAGTAGGCTTAATTTATAAGCAACAATTGTAATAAGAATTGAAGCAAGAAGTATGTGAACATACGAGTGGATATGCTTGTAGAAAGCATGAGGAGTTGTATACTAAAAAAGAATATAGTGTTTTTTAGGCATTTCACCATATTCTTGAATTGCCTCCAAACTTTTAGATTAGTGTGCAGTCTATAGAATGTATTGAGTTGTATTGTAGTATTGTTGAAACCTTGATGTTAATATTTGCACAATTTTATTATGGAAAATTAGAGCATGATTAGATGACCAATAATCAAATGTTTTATTAATCTTTTGGTTCATTGCTTATTTTCTAATCCTTGCTTTCAATTGATGAAAGAATTAAAAGCTAAAGAAATCTAAGAAAGATATTGCATCTTTATTGATAGAAGCTTAAGACAAGCTCTTATATTTATGTTAGATTTAATATTGAATATTCTTATTAACTTTGAATTTATTCAAAGCTACTTTTTTATTCTATGAAGTTATTATGCAAAAATATCCCCCCAAACCTTGTCATGTTCTTCCGTGATTTCCTTTGCTCTTACTAGTTATATAGTTTTTTTTTTAAAACTTTGACACATTTATTGATGAAGCAAGAAGAAGAGGATGAGGCCAAAGAAGAAGAGGTTATAGTATTACAAAACGAATGGATCATTGTTCCTTCTCTCACTACTAATATAGATGTACCTTCTTGTCTCTTCCTTTGTTTATTATAACTTAGTTCTTGTTGAGAAAAAAGGTAACACTTGCATGTAACAACTCTACATTCACTTTGATACTTTCATAGCAATTGGGCAATTGTGACATAAAAGAGATAGAAGGAGACAATTAAAAAAAACCTTCTTGTTGCCACAATACAAATGTTATGCACTTTATATTGTTTACATGCATCTTTATGGTTTAAAGAACCTATAAATTATAAAAATTTATGATCCCACTTAAATTGTAAAACATTGGTTATAAATTTTCTATCTACCAGGGTTATAAATTAAGCAAGGTACATCTCTCTTTGTCTCTTTCTTATAAAAAATTAAAAAAATGCTATTCATAGAATGGTATTTGTAAACATGCTGTTTGAAAATATACATATGTATATATTCTACTGCAGAAAAATCAACATATCACGTCCCCAGAAGCAAGTATCAACTATGCCTTCAGAATTGTATTGGCTAATGGACAGGATTACTTTCACAACAACTTCAAGCACACTAAGTCCTTGTGATAAATTTCAACTAGATTCACAACCTTTTGTGTATGTCGGCTGCTGATTCTAACTGCTAAGAAAAACTGCATTGCTCTGTTCAGATTTGAAGGCAAAGTTCTGTTTTTTTACATGCCTCTCAATCAGTTCTGAGCAATGCAAATAGAGAAACAATGGACATATCCACTAGACGCAGAAAAGCATTGAAGAATGAGGCATCAGCAGGAAACCGCAGCGTTGGCAAGTGCTGATTAGAAACCAGAAATTGTCAAGAGCTAGAAGAAATTGTCAAGAGCTAGAATATGGGTCATGGATTTTACAGCTTAAAATGTGCGGCTGTTGCTTCAGACTTGAAATCTAGGATCTCCATCACCCTCTCAAAGTTTAGGGTTGTGGCCATTTGGACCTCCATTTGAGATCTCATTCTCAGCATATTGTGCATCGGTTAACTAATAGATTGCAGCTCCAATCTGCTGACCAATGAATAGAAATGCACGGTGAAAATGAGAATAAGCCAACGAAAGAAAAAGAAAGATGGAAGCTACGTGCATTTTGATTCTGCTTGGGATGGTAGTCTTCACCAGTGTGTGCTTAGAAAAAAGCCTCAACAAAAAGCCTGAAAATGTAATACGAAAAGAGACTGCCAGGGGGGTTCCCTATCATGGTTGAGGATGCGGTAACACGAAATGAAACAGAGCCATGACATAAGAATTTATAGAAGGGATTGCACTACATTTAGAAGATTTCGCAATCTTGGAGTGATGCTATTAGCAAGCTGCTCTATTCCTTGATTTTCAATATGCTTACAGCGGTTTCCAATGTCCTCAAGCTCTCGTAGAGCAGACTTCACCTTCCCCATATCTCCAAGCGCTTTGGATGTCTACAAAAATGCCGCTCACACCTAGTCAAGATGGAATGCTCTATTTACACAGAACCCTTTCACAGAATCCCTATCATGAACAGCGTCACACAACAACTAGTTTCTTTCGCAATGGAGAAAAACACAATAAATATCCATCAGTCTGTCGCCGCTTCGTGAACTTCTTGGTTATTCTTAAGCTTAAATGAGATTACCTGTTCCTTTCAGTACTTTTTTCACGCCAGTATGATAAATTGCTACATTGAAACAAGAACCAGCCATCAGCCCAGAAACTTCAAATCTTAAATATAAATGTAACAGGTTCAGGCAATGTCAGTGATATACTGTACCGGCTGGTGTGTTTATTGGTCTTCGGATACAGGAACAGTTCGCACAACTGTTATCCTTAGCGTTTGGAAAGCACCGGAACTAGGAAACGTGAAGTGAAACGTGGTCATCGATACCAGTAGCTTACCTCAAAACAACATTTTCTTCAATATCATGCTTAAGCTTCCCAATATATACTCTGCACTCGCATCAACCTTATTAAGAGCTGTGGAGGCCTCAGTACCAGCACAGGAACGCCAGTAGAAAAGAGCTTTAGGAACAGACTTGGTTCCCGAATCTTTCACTGCAATGCCCCGTCGAAATCGTTGTTTAAGTAATACAGCAGTACGATTAATAATCTGCAGAAAGTTCTTGAATAGGATGTAGAACTCGTCATGTACCATGGAAGTGGTGAGTCCGTCATGTACCACTACGTATGGAGCTCCTGCACCGACTTGAAAGTCATGGATTCAATTGTCCACTTGCAACTCAAGCATCTCTAAAATTTATGTTCTTGCAGTAAAAATAGTCATTCGTCTGGCTCTACAACATCATCTCCTCCAAATAATATTCCATCGATAGAGGGTCTGGTTCTCCTTGGGGAGAAAACAGCCAGCATGTGTATATGATACTTGTAATGCATGGCAACTTCTTTTGTAAGCTTTGAGAGTTTTCTCTGTTCGAATTAAATCTTAACAATCAAAGTACCCATTGCATTGCACTTCACCTGCAGCTCCACCATTGACAGCGCGATTTCTTCCTCTGCTTCAGCTAAAGTCTTGTACTATCACCGGGCCACTTTAAAATAGGGAAAATCAAATTTTCCTACAATAGCGGCGTCTGCAATGCGTGTGGTGCTTCATCGTGTTGGCCGCCACTTATATTGCTGGATTAGCCGCAATGACCAAGGCGCTTAAAACATCGTTTCATTCGACCAAGCATGGCTCGAAGTACGGTGTAGTGCCATGTAAACGAGATGGTGCCTCTTCGAAGGTGGTGTCGGCCCGCTGTTTGTTTTGTGTGAAAGTTGGGCAAGCTGAGAATGATTCCAGCTCACATGAACTTGCCCTCACCGAGAATGTTCAATTCTTTTCCGTTCCTTTCCGTGCAGTCAACATGAAGAAATATAAGCTGACATAGCTTGCGGAAGCTTTTGCCGAGTACGATGCCCTCAATCATTCTGAGAGGAGGCAGTAATTTGAACAACATGTCGCTCGCAACAACACTCTTTATGCGCATTTCAATAGTGAGAACAAGTACGTGCCCAGGATCAACGAGGACATCGTTGAAGTGCTCATCGGCAACATGTCGTTTGACCCCGACAACCAGTCATC